AATCTGATACGAGAAACAGACTCAGTGCTGATAACAACGGTGATCGAGGCAAAGGATCAATCAACAAATCAAACATGAGGGCAGTAAACCGAATGCAGCTCTGTCTCTATCCAGCAGTCTCACACACACACACACACACACACACACACACACACACACACACACACACACACTCTGAACAGCAACAGCAGATATAGAGATGGAGCACTGGGGTGAAATTTGTCTTGCAAATAGGTTTTATGCAAATGAACCCAGGACAGTTCTGTGAAAACGCTGCAGGAAGAATGGATGAACATGCCCGAGGTCATGAGGACACGCTCGTGGAAAACTGAGCCCGAGATCTACCCTCTCGACCCGTGAGATCAAACACATGTCATGGAAATCTGAGGCGCTATTTACTGTCATCATATGGACAGTTTGACTCATCTTCTGGGTTTCTAACCAGCTTTGTTTTGGACATACACATCCCTGCTCCTCCCCTCCCCCCAACCAAAATCACTTTTACTGTTGCATGTCCCAGATTTTTTCTGTCTTCCTACTGTTTCTACATGAGCTGATTCAGCTATTTAGGATTCTTGCAAATGTTTAGTGTTATTTCTCTTTGGTTATTGGACCCTTCTCTGAGGGACTTAAAGAGAAAGTTTCGCCCCATGGAACTTCTGGAAAACTGTTTTCCAGAAAATCAAGGGCCAAAATGTAAAATATCCCAATTGGAGACCAATGGTAACAACCGGTTCTTTAGATAATCTTTAAGTGTACGAGAAAACAATATGAAATAATCGTGACAGCACTAATAGATTGATTAAAGTTTGAAGACTTGCGGCTGTGGTGAGGTGGTCAGAAAATTCAAGTGTTTAATCCACACTTATGTAAAAGAAGTGCAATTCTTTCAAATAAAAATAGTATTAATGAAAACAATAATATATTTGACAATGCTCAAAGAGACTTTTCAGGATTAGATAGAGAGCAAATGAAAATAAATAAGCATAAATATAAAATATACATCAACAAATATACATCTGAAAAGGTGGGCTCATGCTTGTGCATTGCCTTTCTACACCGCACAAATGATTAAAATGTAATCTTATAGAGAATTTGCATGAAATATAGATATTATACTACATAAAAATTGCAATATTTTCAGTGTATGGAATACAAAACTTCAGATTCGTTGTTAGGAGTGACCCGGAACACACACATTTTATTATCAGATGAAGAAAAAAGTTATGTTAAAACCTGAAATCCTGATTATAGACAGTTACCGACAGTTGTGTTGTTTTCTAAAAAAGTTAGTGCAGAATGAGCCGATGCTTTGTTTTGAAAACAGACAGATGAATCTAAAAATGAGCTGTCAGCAGATTTCCTCTGTGTGACTGCACACAGGAAGCTGCTGTCACAGTGTGAGGGTGTGATACTGTTTGATTGCCACTGACACTGTGTTGTGGTCCTGGGCTCCTATAGATAAGTGCAATGTAATGATGACAGCGCCTACAAAGTGTCGAGCGAGAGCGATAAGAAAAGAAAAATCTACATTTGTTAGAGGCTGATTTTTCTTTAGGATTTAATCGTCTGTTTTACAAGTAAGTAAGACGACGCGCTGCCTTCAGGGTAGATCCGGTCCCTCGGAAGATCTCCAACTTTACAGAGAAAAACACAACTCACCAACTCGATGCACTTCTTCCTCAGCCGAGACCTTTATTCTCATCATCAAGCCAAACATTATGTTCATTACTCACCAGAAGCATTTTATTTTGTTTAAAAAGATAAGCCTGCGCATCAGTTAAACACGTCAGAGCGTGTGTGCGACACATTTAGAGACAGAAGTGTAAATAAACAGTACAAACTGCAGCTTTCACTCCTGCTGATACACAAAGGAGCCATCTTGGATTTTGAAGTCGACGCGTTCCGGCGTTCCAATTGCAAACTTCTGACTCGGGGGTCGGAAATTCCAAGCTCCGAGGTTTAATGGAGGGCAGCATTATTTAGGCTTTGCTTTCATTAGCCAAGCTAGCAGTCTAGCTTTATGGTGGCTAACCACCATTTTGGACCAAAATGAAATCTTAAAGCATCGTTTGATCGGATTGCCGTGATTTTTTTGGGGGGGGATAAATCTTTGATGACAAAGTACCCTGAAAACTAATCACACTCTCATCATCCTCACAGACACTTTACTTAGTTCTAATGAACAAATATTAGCGTGCTAATATGCTACACTAAGATGGTGAACTTAAGGCAATTCCAGCATAGCACTGTCATAACGAGCATGGTGCTACATGCTAGCGTGGCTGTAGTCTGTTTTAATTTACAAATGACTTTTATACGTTCAGGTTTCTATGGAAAGGAGAAAAATCATGCTTGTCTAGACCTGGTCGTAATGTGCACACGTATGTGACCAGTTATAAAATAATGTGAAACCTCTGCTACTGTAAAATGCTGGGTCTTCTTAGCCTGTTGAGAGTTGTGAGTACATTTTAAATGAAGCTGCAGTGAAGGAGGAAATCACTGGTAACAATCTTTTGTTTTGTCAAGTAGGTATGGCCTTGTGTCTACATCACACACCCAAACATGGCCATATACAGAATGCTCTCTAACTTACAAATGGCGAGCTGACGGGACGCCAGAGTAGAAGGGCTGAGTGAAAAGTCAGTGTGAGTGGGAACGGAGGGAGGGTTGGGTGAAATCTGAAGGCAGCAGACTCTTCCAGCACGAGCCGGGTGATGGAGGCTGAGTGATAACGTTATCATGGCCGCCCCATACTGTAACGGCTGGAACAGGCTCGCAGAAAGGCAGGGAGGAGCTGACAAGCCCTCAACAGAGATAGCAGCGCCAAGAGCTGGACAGATAGTCGATTTACGAGGGTCCCGGAGAGCGACGGGGAGAAAAGATAGAAAGAGAAAGATCCTCAAAATCTTCACTTCACCACAGCACACAACAGATTGTCAGTCAGTGCCTCCTGTCCCCACCCCTTTCTATACTTCTCATGAAACATTGAGCTTTATAACATCATGAGAAACCTATACCAGCTGATAGTGCAGTTGCTCACCGATGATGCCTCAACATTTCTACAAGAACAGATGCGTTGAGAGAAGAATCTGACAAAATAAATGAAGATTCAAGGAAGAAAATCAAATAAAAAAAATAAATAAATGAAACCCTCTGACAAAAACAACCCGTCCTGTAAGAACTGAGAGAATTGCAGTTATGGACATGATGGTCCGTCCTTCAGTGTAAATATTGTCCTGCTCAGCTGCACATGGCCGAGAGAGACAGTTAGAGACCAACTGGTGAACTAGGATTTGAACGTTAAGAGCCAGATATTTACCTCAGGAGTCAGTAGAGACCAAAACAGAGGTTCTAAAACTAAAGGAGAGAGAATATTGGACTTAAATTCAACAGCGTTTCACAGCAGGAAGAGCACAGGTGTTACCAATAACCTAAATTATGCTTCTGTCTTGTTCAAGTACAAAGACTGATTCAGGAACTGCTTAGCTTAACTAAGTGTTAAGTCAAGCCCAAAACAAATAGATTTTACACAACACAGCTATTTACTGTACATGTTGCAACCTGGATTTAACATTTACTTGTGTGCCCTAAGGGACTGAACTGTGCTTTTGCATGCAATTGTTCATATGATATTAAAAGTGTATTTTTAGGTGTGGGTCGCAGGGTGAAATTTGCAGCTTTGGATTTGTTTTAGTTTTTTTCATTTTCTGCTTTTAATCTTTAATCTACGACAGACAAACCTGTGCTGTACTTGACTCACAGGGTTGAAATACAGTGGTGCTGACAGGGTCATTATTCATTATTAGTTGCTTTGTTGAGAGTCAGATGCAAAACAAGCTGGCTCCCAATAAAGGAAGATATTTCTTCAATCTCTACCATGTCAAATCTATACACCTGGCATGACAGACTCATAAAAAACAACCAGAAACATCCAATTCTTCTTTTTAACAAAAAATACTTATAGAAGAAAACACCTCAACTCAAAAGTAGGTGATTCCACAAGTGAAAATACCTCCAGGCCCACACTGTTGAAATCTAGTGTCAAGCTTTGCACTTGCCGGCAGACTGATGGAAGAAGGTAAACTAGAATCAAAGTAAATAGAGTGTAATTCCCTATATGACTGCTTCTTAATAAGTTGTCAAACTGACACATCTGTTGAGTCCTCTTTCTTCTCTGAGGGGTTGAAAGTGTGTTGACAGTTTCAGGGAGGGACAGCACACAAATCCTCTTTGCTGAGCCGCTCCTGACAACAGTGGACGTGTCCCTCCCACAATACTGAGTTAAAACCCCCAGAGCTGGAGATAGAATGATAACCAATCATAGACGGAGCCATTAAATTGAAAGTGCATTCAGGAGGATTCAGTTATTTGTGGGGTGGAACTTTAATGGAGACATGATTTCATTCATGCGTGTCATGGTCTGTTATGCTTGGATATATACCGCCACCATGTGGTGAAAGGCTGTTCAGCAACAGTCCATTGATTCCAGCACAATATGTCAATATATTGAATTTACTGTGAGACACAATTAACTTTTTTTGAATTGAAAATAGAATAACATGCAACAGAGAACTTGGATAAAATAGAAGAAGCAAACAATGATAAATGAAGAAAACACAAATACAAAAAAAAAAAAAATACATAAACTTATAAATCCAGAACCTGCTTTGTGAAGTTATTAAAGACCTGCTCCTCATCAGTGGTGATGGAACTACACAAAGCATTGAACTACAAACAGGTTCATCACTTTTTGGGGTCCCCTGGAAACATTTCCGTTTCTGTATCAATTGTATTAAATTGCATGTGTTTTTTCTATTTGCAAGCGTTTTCTTAATTTGCTGTATAAATCTATAAATCTATTTATTTAAAAATAATAAACAGAGAACATAGATGACAGAGGAGGAGAAGAGATGTTTTCCTCTGTGTCCTGTTTTATTTATTTATTTCTTTGACGTGAAAGAAAACGTTTTGTGCGGAACTGTGTGTGTGTGTAAGCAAGGATTTCCGCCCGGCGTTATTTTGCACACGGACACGTCCTGGCTCTTTGCTAGTTACAGGCGTGTAAGCGGGATTTTTTTTTTTATTTCACGTGTTTCTCCTGCTTTAACTTCAACCACTACTGTGTTTTTGTGAGTGCTACGAACACAGGCGGTGAGATGGCGGAGTTCACCCAGCTGAAGCTGGATTTTACCCTGAAAGAACTGACCTGCCGGCCGGAGGACCGGGACGTGCCCGGCGCCTCGTCCATCCTGGAGCTGCGGGACGACCGGCTGGTGTGTGTGGAGTATCCGGCCGTGGTGACCAGCTCCAACAACATGCTGGAGACTCTGGGGGGAGAACGAGCTGTGTCCAAAGTAAGATGAGACAGAGTTGATAGGTTTCCTGCCTCTTATTTGTTCCTCAATATTTCCATCCAGGTTCCACCCTCACGAACATTTTACACAAAAGGTTACATGCTGTAAAAAAATAATAATCAATAAATAAACTTTGAAAGTTGTAGCTGTCAGACCTGGGCTTAACTAATTGACTTCATCTTAGTCGATCCAGGCTTTACACAGTGTTGCAGACTAGCTCTCTAAAGTCAGGCTTCAAATATGTGATCTTTATGTTTTTATTGGCGTCATTTATAATGTGTTTTAATATAATATTTACCAAGCTGACAGAGTTTTGACCTTGACATTATAAAACTGTAAAGTGGTAAATGTTAGTTTCCACAAAGATTTGCTATGCTGTGACAATACATATTATATTACATGCCAATTTTAGGGAGTAAAACAATCTGATACCGATACACTGGTTGTTCAATTATTCCTAAATTGTTGTTATCAAACTTTTATGACAAAGAAATGTACTTGAGGCTTGATATTTTACAGTGTAACCATAAACTGTATTAAAAGTCAGTATAAAGTAATGTGTATATATATTTGTTCTACAAATATACTCATATTGGCTGATATATATATATATATATTATAAATGGGCCCTGGACTTTGTGACACTACACAGTTTGGCACTAGGCTCGATGTCAGTTTGATTTGTGAAATAACTAAGCTGAGATGTTTCCTTCATGGCTGCTTTTTGTATTTGATTATCATCATCACTATCGTCTTATGTTGTCAGCTGCTGTGATCTGATAACTGTCCGGTTTTCCTGTAACTCCACAGACCTTCGCTAACCCCAACAGGCGGCTTGAGCTGCGTTACCGACCTCAGGACCCCTTCTGTCACCCTCTGTGTGGAAACCGCTTTTCGTCCAGCAACCTCCTCCTCAGAGTGCGGCGGCGGGTGCGAAAAAAAGACCCCAAGGATGTCCAGATCCAGATGGATTTACTGGGAGTCATTGGAACAACATATAAATTCCAAGGTTAGGCCAAAAGTCTTCTTGTGTGTGAAGCACAGAATATAAACATCTGATACGTAAACTTTATTGAAGGAGACAGGATTGCATCATATCAAAAAAAATAAATAACGACGCTGTCTTTTCTGATCACGTCTTTGTGGTTTGCAGGGATGGCAGACTTTCAGTGCCTCGCTGTGCATTCAGAAGGTGGAACAGATATGGCTCTGTATGACAAAATCATCCTTCGTAAATCAGAGAATCAGGAGTTTTTTGAAAAGCCCGTGCCTTACTTCCTTCCCCCGGCCATCTTCTCACGTCTCGACAGTCCCGTGGATTATTTCTACCGACCCGACATCCATCACAAGTCAGTAATGGCTCTGTGGGGAAAGCATAATTCCCTGGGTCAACCTAACTGCTTTTAAAATTTGATTTAAACCGTGATTTGACCACAACAACTGTTAAAGTTACACAGAGTGGAATTAGTGTTTTAAAACGTTAGAATAGATGTTTTTATACCAGTATTCTGGTGTCTATATTTGAAAGATAATATTTTTTGTTTCACTGTGAAACTAACAACGCATCTTTTCAGGATTTTAATCAATAATATGAATTTTTTCCCTCTCCGTTCTGTTTATAGCCAGATGCCCATCAACAAGAAAAGCTTTATCGGTCTGAATCGCGTGCGTCGGCCCAATAATGCCATTTTTGTCAGCTTCACTGATCCCACTGTGCCCAGTGAGTGTCTTGAGGGGGCGAAGCTCAATTGGGCAAGAGTCTGCCTGAAGGACTCCGACAGAGAGAGTGAAGAGCAACTGAAAATGGTTTGTGTGCTGCTTCAGAATTATTTCTACATGACGCTTTAAAATCTACTCCAGTTATTATTTCCATCAGATCATTTTGAGCAGCATCTCTATTCACCAGTGTTTTTACTCCATAACTGGCATCTGCTTTAAGTTGGAAAATGAAGTTTTTGTGTGATGTAAGCCTTTATCTTATCTCAAACCAAACTTTTTTTGCTTAGATGTTTGAGAGCCGGCCCATCTGGTCCCGGAACGCAGTCAAGGCCAACATCAACATCCACCCTGATAAACTGAAACTGCTGCTGCCCCTATTTGCCTACTACATGGTGAGTTCTGTTCACTTTCCCTGATGTCATTCAGATACTGTATATTGTGAAATGAAATTTGAAGTAATTAAATGGAAAATTCAAAATCTATTAATTTCTCAATATGCAGGTGTGTGCCGCTTTGTTTAGTTTGTGGTTTTGAAATAATAATATAGAATGTAAAATACAAGTCCCCCAAATTACAACTTCTATGACTCATAGAGAAGAAATAATATTCTCAGTAAAACGTTTTTAACAAACGATCACTCTAAAGTTCATTACTCTAGTGTCTCAGTGTTAATTTTCCCAAATCTGAGTTAAACGTGCAACATAATTTTGTAGGTGACAGGGCCGTGGAGGAGTCTTTGGGTGCGGTTCGGCTATGACCCCCGAAAAAACCCAGACTCCAAGAAATACCAAATGCTGGATTTCAGGTTCCGCTGCAGCAGCAAGCACGGTAAGAGCCTCAGGCAGGACAAGAAGGAGCTACTGTAGTTTGATTGTTGATGAGCAAATATAACATTTTTTATTGGTAACAATACTTTTGGTGACTTTGTGGAATATAATATAATGATATCGACTTCTGGTTCCTCATTTTTTAGGTTATTCAATATCTGACCTGCCAGTAAAAGCCAAGAGGAGTGCGCTTAACTACAGTCTGCCTATTACGTTCAACAAAACAGGTGAGAGTTAATAAAGTGTGTGTAGAGTTTTTTTTTTTTATTATGAAAGTCAATAAGCTTTGTCACAGCTGAAAAAGTACAGATGTCATAACATTTACATAAGTTTGACAGTAATTAAATCCATTGCTCTAAGTGGGCCTTGAATTAACCTCAGCACCGACTTCCTCAGCTCAGTAAATTAAACAACAGTAACATGTTCTCTATAATCTCAACCATCTTGTTGCTTGGCCAAGGTAAAGTGAAAACATGTTCCACATACTGCTGTTTTTTTTCCAGGCCCTCAGCCAGCGAGTGTGATGGATCTTCCAGCTCAGGAGGGTCCAAGCTCCAGTCGAGACACAATCCCAGTCTCGTACAAGCTGAGGGTCAGTGAATGTCCAGTACTCACACGAGAGCTGACATCATTGGTTTCTAGATACGAGTGTGTCTCAAAAGAGATTTCATGGGGATATTTTATTTATTCGTTTATTATGTGAATGCTTAATGGTTCAAATGGTGGAAGATAATAGGCATTGTATTGTGTTTTTCTGAGAGTGTTTTAAGTTATACAATAAATACTGAACTCCGCATCATCTCCACAGGAGTCCTCCTTTATTTTCAGAGATGGCATGCTGCCTCCTCACAGACAGATGTTTTACCAGCTGTGTGATTTGGATGTGGAAAGGTAATCCAAGTTAATCTCTATTATTTTACCATAACTGCCGTTAAAAATGGTTTTAAAATATTGTTCCATTTTGGATCTCAAGTTGTCCTCCGGATGACTTTTGATAATATGATTAATTTTGTTGAACTTTTAGGAACCACATTTAACCTCACATACTATAAAGTTTTTCTTTCGTTTTCATTAGATCGAAACAGCTAGTCTAAAGCTTTTAGTTGTAATGTAATGTAATGGTGTGTTTCTAGTCTCAAAGAGGTGATTGAGCAGAAGGGAGATGAACAGGTATGTAACGAGCGGGATGGCTGGTGTGTTCTCGGTACCACCGACAAGCTGAGGGACATGATCTCAGCCATGATCCAGAAAGTCACCTGGGCACAGAAACCAGGTAAGAAAATATCCTCTTCAAATGTTATAGGTTCCTCTTTGGGTCATACTTCACTTCCACGACAGACAGACAAACAGCAGCAGTTAGAAACATAACCTCACTGGTGGAGGTACATGCCCTGTTATCTGATGTCATTTCTGTCCCTCAGCCGTGCCACAAGTCCTCAGAAGAAGCCAACGCAATGTGTCAAAATCCTCAATGAAAGGTGCTTACGCAGAAGACGACGAGGACGAGGATGAAGGTGAAAACGAGGACGACGACGATGATGAATTTCTGCCGTCTGAGGGAAGTGAGAATGAGATGGAGACAGAGATTCTGGACTACATGTAACAAAGAACAGCCAATGGATGATACGTCTCTGTACAGATGATGTGTTTGTATTATTTTTTTCTGTAAAATGTAAAGTAACTTTGTTAAATGGAAATAAAAACAAAAGTATTTCTATATCTTTATGTTTGTGTATATATATATGTGTGTGTGTTCATACACGATGATTATCAATTGTTCAGAGATACTGAAAATTCTGACACAACATAACTTAAGTAAATGCCATGAACGGTTGCTGTGATGTCTGTCCCATTCTTGTGATATCGATGTATACAGAACAGTTTTGTTACAGTTGTTAAACAAACAAATGTTAAATCAGACTCGAGGATTAACTGATTCGACCCCACAAAAGAAGAATTGAAATACTAAATAAGACCAAATGTGGTCAGATAATTAATTACTAACACAAATTTTGGAGGTCCACCTGGAAACTTTACTGAAATACACTGAACTAAATTCCTTCAATGTCCTAACTGCATATGTCTGGACAGACATAGATGTGATACAGACCTCATGCTCTACTTCTAGTGTCTTAAAAATGTTACTTTTTAATAAGGTGCCTTGTATCATCCACATTATAAAATGGGTTTTGAAAAGTCCTGTATGGTTATATGTTTTATATACAGCATTTAATATAGAAGCCCATCTTCATTTACTAAAGTTGTTGGCAAAGGCTACGAGGTTAGAATCTGTTGTATGTCAGGTGCTGCGAGGAAAAGGTGGTTAAATAGTACGTGTTATGCAACGGTGAGAAAAGTGGCCATCACGCTGCACAGTGGTCAGATGTTCAGGGGAGGAGTCACCTTTATAAAAGTCCAGCCTGAAAACCAACCTGGTTCTCACAGTCATGATGGCGAGGCTGGGGCTTTTGGTCGCTTTTGCTGTGTTCCTGGAGGTGGTCTCTGGGGCCTCTGTAAGTGCTAAACAAAAAATATAACATCTGTTTAATTCAAAGATGCCAAATGTCATTCTGTGATTTTGATATTTCACAACTTTTTTGTGCTGAATCTCTAGCTTGGGGTAGTGTACACGGAGGGGGGGATGGTGCAGGGCGAGAACATTCGTCTTGGGTTCCGTCGTCACATGGACGTCTTCAGAGGGGTTCCCTTTGCTGACATCCCTGGAAGGTTTGAGAAGCCAAAGCGTCACCCTGGCTGGGACGGTGGGTGATTGACTCGCTCACAAATTAAATTTAACATTCAGACCATTAACTAAAAACTCATGATGGCATATTGCTAAATTGGATTATGGTAAATTAGTATCATTGTTTTATCTGTTGACGTAAATGATCTTCAGTAATCAAGAAAACTTGAGTCTCATGCTTCTCTTAAAACGTGTGTATGTCTTTTATCAGGTGTCTTGAAGGCCACTGAGTTCAGAAAGAGATGCCTTCAGGTGAACCTCATCATGACCGATACCAGAGGGAGTGAGGACTGTCTTTACCTTAACATCTGGGTTCCCCATGGCCGCTCAGGTAAACACAGAAAGAACCACAAAGTATTGTTCATTATAGATCAACACTGCTGCTGTCTCTGATTCTATTTGGTCTGTAGTCTCCACAGATCTGCCCGTCATGGTGTGGATCTATGGAGGAGGCTTCCTGGCCGGAGGCTCGATGGGTGCTAACTTCCTGAACAACTATCTGTACAGCGGCCAGGAGATTGCAGACAGAGGAAATGTTATTGTGGTGACTTTGGGATACCGTGTGGGAACTCTGGGCTTCCTGAGCACTGGAGACTCGAGCTTGCCCGGTAGATGGCCGTTTGTTCTCTCACAACAGCCACAGAATCAATTAGATTTTGACCCCTGCCAACTATAATGACATGTTGTCCATCTTGTCAGGAAATTACGGTCTGTGGGACCAGCAGGCCGCCATCGCTTGGGTGCACAGGAACATCCGCTCATTTGGAGGAGACCCCGACAATGTCACCGTCTTCGGAGAGTCTGCAGGTGCAGCTAGTGTTAGCTTCCAGGTGAGTTTTTTTTTCTAGACATGTAGCTCATTGAGTGTTTCAAGAGACTTTGTGGGTCTTAGGCAAAAGGGACCGAGGGGGCCCTACATCCAACAAGTTTGCAGCACCCCTGAATAAAATGTGTAGTTTGTATGTATAACTCTAACTCTAACCCACAGACTCTCACTCCCCACAACAAAGGGTTGTTCAAGAGAGCCATCTCCCAGAGTGGAGTTGCCCTTTGCCCGTGGGCCATCAACAAGAACCCCCGCAAGTTTGCTGAGGAGGTACATYACAGATTCTCATAAASGTTTCACTTCCTTGATTAGACTTGAACTCTCTTTATTAATAGTTATCAGGCTTTTACAGATTATCACTGTGTATTAAATGTAAATGGAACCCCCCCCCCCCTCAGGTCGCTCTGAAGGTCAACTGCCCCACGGGTGAAAATATGGCCGCTTGTTTGAAGATGACCGATCCTGCGCTCCTAACGTTGGCCGGCTCCCTCAGTCTGTCCAGCTCACCTGATAGTAAGCACTGCAGTCCACACACAGTCACCTAGCTTACATTTACACTTTAGCCTACAGAGCTGCTTTTCTTTACCTGCAGGAGCTGTGTTTGTGTCTGAAGCAGTTTAACTGGACATTAAAAAAAAGAAACCCTGTTAATGTAGAAACCTCAGAGAGAGCCACATGTGAGGGATTCCTCTTCCAGGACGGACAGAAGTGCAAGAGATGTCGCGTGTAACTGAGAACATCAGCAAAATAACAGCATTTACAACACTGATTAGAAGAAACAGTTTGTAACATAACGGAGAAAAGTGAGCAGAGATAAAGGGAGCAGCAATGACAAATGAATGTTTTAACCTAAATGTTAAGGTTTTCTTCATATACAGTATGTAAAACACGACTAAGTGTCAACAGCAGCTCTATCAAATGTTAAGTAAGATGCCACTTGTGTGTGAGACAGTTGTAATGAGCGTTTGCTCATATATCGCCCCGTTAGGCCCTGTCGTAGGAAACCTGCTCCTGTCTCCTGTGATCGATGGCGACTTCCTGCCTGATGCGCCTCACAACCTGTTCCACAACGCCGCTGACATTGACTACATCGCTGGAATCAACGACATGGATGGACACCTCTTCACGGGTTTAGATGTTCCTTCAATCAACTCTCCCCTGGTGGACACTTCTGTGTGAGTTCAAGTCATGTGATCAGTGCGAAACATCAACTAGCATCACATGGCAGTGTTTTTATCAGACCTAACTTTCAAACATTCACATGTGCAGTGACGATGTGAAGAGGCTTCTGGCTTCATACACCAAGGATAAGGGCAAGGCTGGTTTTGACAACGCCTACTCCACATACACTTCAACCTGGGGATCAAATCCCAGCAGGGAAACCATCAAGAGAACTGTGGTGGAGATTGGAACAGACTACATTTTCCTGGTTCCTACACAGGCTGCTCTCTACCTTCATGCTGCCAATGCCACGTGAGAAAAGGATCTTTCATTAGCTTTATCACTGTCGTTAACATTGTTTCACCATTTTTTTCAACGCCATGGTGGCAAAGGTAGGAGGATGAGGCTTGTACAACTATATGTCTGTCATTTCTACCAGAACCGTGCATCGGCCCACAATTCTGGACTTTCTCTATTGTCTGAAACTATCTTGATTTAATAAGAATCCAGCTTTTAAAAAGCATCTTTTTTCTTTCTTTTAAAGAACTGGCCGTACCTACTCGTACTTATTCTCCCAGCCCAACCGTATGGGCGGCATTGGCAGACCCTACCCCAGCTGGATGGGAGCTGACCATGCTGATGACCTGCAGTACATGTTTGGAAAGCCTTTCACCACGCCACTGGCATACTGGCCTCGCCACCGTGACGTCTCCGGCTACATGATTGCCTACTGGACCAACTTCGCAAGAACTGGGTATAATTCTGCACACGCAATACACAGCAGAATCACAGAAACTGAAGATTCAAGCACTCAAGCACCACCTCTTCACTAAAGCCTTTGGCCTCAGTTAATGCTCCACCCTGCTGCTAAATTTGATCTTGTTTACTTTTTTCTTTTCTCCTCTGTCTTGTCCTCACAAACCTATGTAAAGTGTCCTTGGGTCCTGTGAAAGGCGCTATATAAATTCAAGCCATTATTATTATTATTAAGATAAATCAGTGACTGAAATAGAAAAACACAACTGCCTCAATTCAGTTGCTCTGTTCTTTTTGCTTCCACAGAGATCCCAACAAAGGAGAGCTAAGTGTGCCCGTCACCTGGCCCGAATTCACCATCACTGGACACAAGTTCCTGGATATCAATTCCAACATGAAGAATGACTCTGTGGGACAGAAGATGAGAGCGCGTCATGTTCATTTCTGGACCAGCATCCTGCCCAGCCTTCCCTAACCATCTAAGAATGAATAGCTTGTGCAACAGCTGTGCACCTTTAGTGTAGAACCCATATATGTAAGGAATCACATCAGCAATAAATAAATTTGTACAAATTATGTCTTGTTTTGTTTTATCCAATAATTTATTGTGCCTCAATGAAATGCTCAAAAAACTCACTTTGCATGTTTCCATTTGAAGTTTGTGTTTGTTTTAACTCAGCATCGATAACAGACAGGACTCTATGATATTATAATGTTTTAGTGTTGACTTTATTTAATGTGCAGAACATTATCATTGGTGCCCAAGTGTGGGTTAACCTCGTAATTTAAAATGAAAAACAAAACAAGAGTCTAAAGAAATAATCTTTGCTGGATTGTTCAACATAAAGCAAAGGAACTGAAAGGCGTCTAACTGAAAGAGTCCTTCTTGGTGTCACGTCTGGTGCAGGCTCTGCTCTCAGGTTGCCCCATGGGTGACCCTGCAGTGGAGGTCTGTAATGCAGTTCAGTTAGTGCAGGGGTAGGCAACCTTTACTATCAAAAGAGCAATCTTGCCCCCTCTTCCCCCCCAAAAAACTTGTCAGGAGCTGCAAAACATACTTGATTACACAACTTGTAAAGTTTTATATATAGTTATACTATATATATAACAACTATAGGCAGTGGAGGAGTCTGTGGGTGTGGTTCGGCTATGACCCCCGAAAAAACCCAGACTCCAAGAAATACCAAACCCTGGATTTCAGGTAACAATACGTTTGTTGACTTTGTGGAATATAACTGATATCGACTTCTAGTTCCTCATTTTTTGAGGTTATTCAATATCTGACCTGCCCGTAAAAGCCAAGAGGAGTGCATTTAACTACAGTCTGCCTATTACGTTCAACAAAACAGGTGAGAGTTTATAACATGTGTATTTTTTTCATTATGAAAGTCAACAAGCCTTGTCACAGCTGAAAATGTAAAGATGTCATAACATTAACATAAGTATATTTTTAGAGAGGGCATGTTGCTATGGATGACTATAAGTATAGATAAATAAATGCATAAATAAATAAGAAAATAAATAAATAAATGTCTTACATTTATTTCCACATTGATTTATTCAAGCATTCCGTGTCCGTATGCTAATGAGAAAGGCGGTCCTAACCTCAGTCTTGTGCAGGATTGGTCGCAGGAGTGTGATGATCCAGTTCTACTACTTCTGCCTGTCCAGTTATTAATGGATGGTGTCTGATCATCTCTTTGTGTTGCTCTGGTCATTTTATCACTTAGTCCTGACCGTGAGCGTCTCGATTCGTGTTGGACTGAGCGCAAAGTGTCGACGAGTCACTTTTCATGATGTTTAAAATGAGTCTCATGAAATCTGGAATCGAACAGACACTGAGTAACTTCATGTACTGATCAGGTCCTGATGACCAGTGATGAGAGTTTATGAGTTAAAGTGAGAGCAGCTCAGAGAGGAGGAGCAAACAGAAACTCCAGCTCGATACAAACCAACTGCAGCTTCAGCTCTGATCATGAAGCAGCTGTGACCAGAGACACTCTGTGTTTTCACTGTTCTTCAAGTGAGTCTCTGACCGGCTGCTTCACGTGAACGAGCTCTGTGTGTGCGTGTGTGCTCCCAGACAGTGCAGACACACACACACACACACACACACACACACA